GCATGTGCACAGGTATAAATATGAGATGCAGCATTTTGAGATACAGTGAAGCAACCCCCCTGGCCACGGGGTCGGTTCTGAGCCCCAGAAACCCCGTGTGTGTCAGAGTTGGGTTACGCTCCACAGGGCTCTCCACGGTTGATTTTTCATATGTCAGACTGCCCTCGCTCTCTTCCAAGGTGCCTTTGAGGTCCCTCAGACAGCCAATCTTTCCGTTAAAAGCTTGGCGCTTCATGGCTCGTGGCACCCAGGGATGACAGTGTGGGGGCAGGCCCTTCCTCTCACCGATGTTCAGTCCCTTCCCCGTGACTCAATCCAACAAGTAAAGAACATAGGGAACAGCCCCGGACAGGTCCTTAGCAAAAGGGACCTCTTAGCACAAGATGATTTGGTGAGGCCCTGCCAAGGCCCCTGTAACCTAAGCAAGTGCTTTCCTGACCGAGACAAAGAGGCTGCTCTGCGCTTGGAGTAGCTGCTTCAGACACACCATGGCCCCAGGAAAGACATCTCGGGAATCCACATGGAGTTTCCCTTCCCACCCCACCCCACCCATCTAATCCCCAGGTACCCCAGGAATGTACTATTTTTAATAACACCTGGCTAGCAACCGCCTATTGCCTCTGAAAACACTAGCCTCCCCTACCCACATCTGGGGAGCTCCATTCACTCTCTTTTAATCCAGCTCCTGCCCCACGTCAACCTCAGGATACTCCCCCCACAGCCCCACCAAATGGCTTTAAATGGATATCCCTTTTGCTGGGTTGTTCATGGGAGGGGATGGGGGTGAAGGTCAGAACATCGTAAGGGATGCACTGACCAATCCACTTATCCATCCTGGTCCAGGAGAGATAGTCCTTCGTGCTGTCATAGTAGCCAATCTTCTTATAGCTGCCACCTGGGGAGAGGACAACAGAAGGGGTGACCAGAGCAGTGCCGATTTCCTGAATGCCCTTGACCTTTACCGTGTCTCATTTATCTTCACCTGAGCCCCTGAAGGATGCTCAGTGGGACCTCCGAAGGGTGGTGCGAATCAACACCCTTCCTGAAAAGCAATGTAACGCGATTCCCATGGCAACTCAAATGAAAAAGAGTATCTTAGGTATTTAAGATCTTTCTGCAAAGAAGCCTCGACAGGATGTCTGCCACCCGTCCCCCTACCTCACACCTCTCCCTGCAAGATGTCTCTCACGTTGACTCTGGTCGCTAAGGCTGCAGCATATTTCTGCTTCGTCTGCTCCTCATGATAGACAGAGAATCACAGGACCTCTCTTCCCAGTAGCTCCCATCTTTATTTTTGGAAACATCGCTTCCGTTGGCATGGGTTCTAATTCCTTGGGTCTCTTACAAAGACCCACCAAGGAAAATGCAGGCACTCCTAAGAGTTTTCTGCTCCAGAACTGTGCAATCCCAGTTACCCTAACTTTTCCTTAGAAAGTACGGCTACCCCCATGGCTTCAGTCCATTTCCTCTTGTTCTGGATACAAAGACCAGCTGAGAAGATGTGGGAGGTGCAGAGAAGGGAAGACAGGCGCTTTTCAGAGGAGGCCAAGAACTGGCTCTCTTGGCCAGACAATAGGCCACAAGTGGGGGTGGAGCTGAAAAGTTAACTCATAAAAGTTTTTCAAATGCATAAAGCATAATCACTTTGCAGAAAACTCAACCCAGAAGTACCAAACCATATGTATGATTAATGACTTCAAAGTTGTTATTTATATAGCAAGAAAGCATGGGAACCGATGACAAGGATCTGCATATAACCTCCTCCCTGGGAGACAGACAACAGAAAAGTGGGTGAAAGAAGACATCGGACAGTGTAAGATATGACAAACTAATAATAATTTATAAATCATCAAGGGTTCGAGAATGATGACGTCAACATACATACTAATGTGCTGAACACAGATGATGCATGTACGGATTGTGATGAGTTGTATGAGCCCCTAATAAAATGATTATGTCATTTAAAAAATAAATAAATAAATACTATGGACATATTTTCACCAAAAAAAGTATCAAGGGTTCGTGAGGGAGGGGGAGCAGGGAGGGAAGAGGTAAAATGAGGAGCTGATATCAAGGGCTCAAGTAGAAAGCAAATGTTTGAGAATGATGCTGGCAACACATGTACAAGTGTGCTTGACACAATGGATGGATGGATGGATTGTGATAAGAAGTGTATGAGCCCCCAATAAAATGATTTAAAAGAAAGAAAAAAAGAAAACACAGTGGATTTCCTGCAAACAAACCTCAAGTTTTCTTGACTCTATTCGTATGCTCTAATAATTCATTAACCTTTCCACCCAATCCAACCAAAGAGAAATTTCCAGAATCAAAATGAACACCAGCACAGATTGAATTAAGTCTTCCAAACGGTGTGACAGAGCTCACCCCTGTAGAGGCACACCTCAGACATACTGTGGGTTAGATTCCTGATCACCGCAATAAAGCAAGTATTGCAAGAAAGGAAGTCACACACATTTTTTTTTTATTTCCAGTATGTCAGAAAGTTATGCTGTTGCTATGAGTTGAAAACTTTGTGAGCACTCCCAAAACGTGACACAGAAACACAAAGTGACGCATGCTGTTGGGGAAAAATTGTACCAATGGACTCAACACAAGACAGCCTGGCCCACGAGAACACTTTGTTCCAACAACCTGGTCTTCTGTGATGCTCACCTTCCCGGCACAATCGCTGAAGATAAAATGGGTGCAAATGTGGTGAAGAAAGAGGACGGTGCCAAATGATATAGCATCTGGGGTTTTAAAGGCTTGAAGGTAAACAAGTGGCCATCTAACAGAAGAGCAACAAGCGCACATGGAAGAAGCACACCAGCCTGTGTGATCATGAGGCATCCGCAGGATCAGGTAACAGGCATCAGAAGACCCAAAACAAACAAACAAAACCATATTGTTTAGAACAAGGGGGGTTGGAGCACAGACCCAAAACCCGTCTGTAGACAATGGGATAGCCCTCACAGAATGGTCACAAGGAAGAGATGAGTCAACCAAGGCCCAGTGTAGCACTGATGAAAGACACACCATTCCTCATTCCTCTAGCCTCCTCACTCCGCTCTATCATGACCCCAGACCTGCCTTTCACTGCAGGCTAGACAGGAGCATGTGCACAGGTATAAATATGAGATGCAGCATGTGCGCAGGTACAAAGATGAGATAAGATCTCATGACACACAGAGTCCAGAAACAGGGATGGGAGTAACGATACCATGAGGGTAGGGAGAAGGTGGGGACAAGAGGGGAGGAAGGGGGAACCAATCACAATGATCTACACATAACCACCACCCACCATCCCCGGGAAAAACAACAGAAGCCATGGGGGGAGACAGCAATCAGTGTATGAAAATGCTAATAATTTACAATTTATCAAGGGGCACAAGGGTGGGAGCGGGGATGGGGTGGGGAGGGAAAAAAGAGGAGCTGATACCAAGGGCTTAAACAGAAAGTAAATGTTTAGAAAATAATGGTGGCAACACATGTACACATACGTTTGATAAAATGGACATATGGATTGTTATAAAAGCTGTAAGAGCCTCCAATAAAATAATCTTTTAATATATAAATTTTAAAAAACAAACAAAAAAACGACAGCGTTGCCGTGAACACTTAATTTGTAAAGGCACAATAGCTTCAAAGGGCACTACAATGAGGGATACCTATCCCTGTGGGTGTAACCCCAAGTCAGGATTAAGGTATGTCCCAAACCTAACCTCTTCTGAATCACAAAAAGTTTTAGACACAAAAGCAGATGTCTTATGTGGATAAGCAAGGGACTTTCGGGGTGACCAACAAGGAAGGAAGGAAACTGGCATGGCCAATACCTTGACTGACTTTCAGCCTTCAGGACTGTGATAAAGTAAAAGCCTGCTCTTTAAAGCCACCCAAACTCAACCCCAAAGTCTAGGCCCTCAAGGGACCAAACAGGACAGAGCAAAACGGCCCATGTGGGTTTCTGAGGTGGGAAATCTTTACAAGCGCAGAAAGCATCCGTCTTTATCCCACAGAGCAGCTGGTGGGTTGGAACCGCTGACCCTGCAGTAGGCACCCCAACGCATAACCCATGGTACCACCAGGGCTCCTCACAGCCTGCTCTTTCAGTGCCATTGGCGCTAGGCAACTATGAGAGGATTCACTGGGGGAGACAGTGAATGTGGCTCCAATCTGCATGCTCCTTGTCAAGAACACAACCATTGGACTTAGAAGAGCGCGCACCCATACCTAAGCTCTTCAGTACAGGGATAGGTCAATGAACATCTCACTTGGACAACGACCCATGGTCCCATCAGACTTTCTGTGTGACTTTTTCCAAGGGGAAAACAGCTCTTCTTTTGTTTATGATTTCCTTCCAGCGGTTTTAAAGACCCCAAACCCAGTCTTGCTGCACTGGAAACAGGTTGGGATGGGCCACAGGCAGGTGAACCCAGAGTACCTTGCTCTTGGGCTTTGTCCAGCAGCTAGGTGACCACAGCAAGGACTGCGGAGCCCCAAAGCTCAGGTAGGTGGAGTGGTGGGGCTGACCCTCGGGCTTCTGCCCGTAGCTTCAGCCACAACAAGAACCCCCAGAAGTGGGTTTTAATGTGGTGTTCGCACAACATGCAAATCACGGACGCTCCTGTTTCCCAGAATGCATCCGGAGCATTGAACAACCTACACCCCCCATCCGGTTACTGAAAAGCTTTATAGAGACAGCTGGGATAGAAGGGGAGGAGGCAGCGAGGCAAGCCTGTGATGTCTCTGGGGGTTCTCCTGACACACATGGGTCCTATTCCAGGTCCAGCTGAGCCCCCTACCCTCCCCGCCCCCTTCTGCCCCCGCACTCACCCTGTAGCTGTTCAATAAGTGTCCAGGCCATCCGAGAGCCGCTGGCATCAAACACCACATGGCCCTGAGGGAGGCAGACGTGCGGCGGAAGGCAATGTGGATAAAAAGCGAGCGAGAGAAAAGAGAACATCAGGGACTCTTTCAATCCTTATGTTTTTGATGTAATTGAGCGTCTGAATGAAGGCTATTTATGGCATTCGCCTGCATGTAGGCCATACCCCAGATGCCTACAGTCCAGATTTCAGAAAGGTTATTCTCCTGAAAAGAAGCCTCCTCAGGGAGATCAGAATGGGCAAAAAAATCCCCAGATGATGCGCCAGGAGACCTGGCCTCCGGCTGTTTGACCTGAGCAAACTCACAGAATCCTTCAGGACACTCATTTCCCTACTTTTACAAAGGAATAAGGAGACAGCCTGTCAGACCCTTTCTTCTCTGAAAACTCCGTGATTCTTGTCTGAATCGTAAGTCTCTGGCCTAGTTCACACAGAAATGAACAAAGAGGTGGACAGACCATATCCTGGGTTTGGGTTTTTTTCCTTTTAGACTTTGATGGAGATTTCTGCTTTGGGGTCTCTATCTCCTGGCCTGAAACCGATTATTACAGAAGGGAAACAAAGAAGGCATGTCTCCAGGAGAAGTTCCCCAAGGGAATATCTCTCTCTCTCTCTCTCTCTCTCTCTCTCAGAAGACCAAAACCCCACCAACCCACTACCATTGAGTCCATCCAACTTACAGTGATCCTGTACAGGGGTTTCTGAGACTATAAATCCTCATGGGAGCAGAAAGCCTCATCTTTTTCCCGGGGAACACCTGGTGGTTTGAGCTGCTGACTTCGTGGTTAACAGCCCAACACCTAACCCACAGTGCCACTAGGGCTCCTTCAATGGGAGGACCCAAACCAACCACTGAGCCCAGCTCATAGCAACACGAGAGAACAGAGTAGAGCTACTCCCTAGGGATGAGAGGCAATAGCCTCCTCTTTCTCTCTCAGAGAGGCTGGTGGATTTGAACTGCTGATATTGGGGTGAGCAGCCCAGCCCATAACCCATTATGACATCAGGGCCCCTTATGGGAGGAGAAAGCCGTGGAAAATGTTTCTGTAACTCACAGAGACACCCTCGAAGGAGGAGGAGTTCATTGCCCGGTAGATTTGGTCAGTAATGGTCTGGTTGTTGTAGTTGAAGTCCTCCAGGCGCACCCCCGAGCGGCCACCGCCTCCGGATGTCTTGTTTAGAGCCAGTGCCAAGGCCCAGATGGCATCATAAGCCAGCGGGGCCTCCTGGAAGCCTCCTGTCTCCTCCGGGTGTCTCTTGAGCCGCTTAGTCAGTTTCTCCAGAAACTCCTGGGATGTCTGGAAAGGGGCAACGAGAGGAGACGTTTGGAGGGAGGGAGGGGCAGGGGTTTCTGTGTGATTCCAGCTTCCTTCCCCACCCAGCTCCAACACTTTGACTTGCGTGAACAACTCACATTGGTGCTGTCAGGCTGACCATCCATGCATTCAAAATCTGAATGACACCCACATGTCTGTCTTAGGTTGGAAGCTACTAGGCTGGAGCAGAGACTAACTGCCTGCTGGCTCAGAAATACTAACAGAGAGGCTTAGTGATTAAACATCTTGGATAGACCAGAGTAACATCTGCCTCCCTAACGCCTCAGAAGCCAACCAAGGGGGCTCAGGGGCCACCTCTTGGAGAGTAGAGACAGAACAGAGGAAGCGACTTTGATGTGTCCACGAAGCGCTTTGATATTCTACTGATCCTCTCTAGATGTTCTCCACGGAGCTAATTCGGGACCCGGCAGCTCTGCTAATCCTGAAAGAACCCGAAAGGATCAAGGCACAGCGTCCTCACACTCTCCCGGGAGTCTCACACCTCCCTGTCAACAAGGAAACTTCCCCTTCAATGTGTGATTTCAGTCTACTGCATCCGAGAGGATTTTCAGTGGAGAGTGGGGATGACCGAATTAACATTCACATTCTTAAAGTCCATCATGCAGACCCTGCCCCTGCCCACTTAGCCCTCCAACTTCCTTCCCCAGAAAGCTAAAAAGAATGGTACTTTCTCAACTACTGCCATCAAGTTCATTCTTACAGAGACCCTGTAAGACAGAGCAGAACTGCCCCCTGTGGGTTTCCTAGACTATAACTCTTTACAGGGGTAGAAAGCCTCATCTTTCTCCTCTGGGGTGGCTGGTGGTTTTGAACCGCCGATCTTGTGGTTAGCATCCCACCATGTAATCTACTATGCTACTAGGGCTCCTAAAAAGAATGGTAGCCCCTGTTAATTTTGCCAGGAAATAGGTCAAGAGACCTGAATTTCGACACTTGGCAAAATAAATAACCGTTTGGCCAAATAACCATAGGTACACTGCTTAGCCTCTGAGAACTATCCTCCAGCTAATGGGGGAAATTCCATTATTCCTCCAAACCTCCCAGAGGAAAGGCTCAGTGGCCATGTCTTGGCAAGGCAGAAGCCATGTACAGGGACATGATACACATGACACTCTTTGGATGTGGAATGTTTTCACTCACACATTCTAGGGAAGGGACGAATAGATGAATAAAGAATAAATACAATCCTTTGTTCCCATGTTCTTTCCATTCCCCTTTCTGGATCGGTACAGGGCTGAGGGGGGAGGGGAAAGACATCAGGAAGGTGGTGCAGTGGAACACCTGGGTTTTGAGGAGAGGCCGACCTGGGTCCCACTACCCTCAGGGAGGGACCAGGCTTCATTCCTCTCTGAATCCTTAGCATCCAGTGCTGTGCCCAGACTGCGTGCAAAACAAAACAAAACGCCCATGGGTGGAATCGATGGATAGACGGCTTCATAGTCTAGTTAATCTACTACCTGTTACCCAATCCCAAACAAGGGATGAAGCCTCATCGTTCATTATGGGTTTAAGATGGGAAGAATACTGACGACCTTAAGGAGCTCTTATAAGAATGAAGCAAGAACATCCAGGAAGTAGTGGCTACTGATGGTTACGTTTTCCCTCAGTCAAAGCCCCACCTCTGCACTTCCCTTTGCTCAGGGAGGCTCTGATGTATAACCCCAGCCCAATATCTCAAGACGTGTCCCTCTACCTGACCCTTAGGCCTTTCAGTCACCTCAAGTTCAAAATATCCACAACGAAGCTTGCTTTTTACTCAACTCCAATGCCCCCCAGCGCATGAACTTGAAACCTTTGTTGTCACTTTAGACGTTCCACATTGCCAAGTTCGTTTAAGTTTTTTGTTGAAATGTTTTACTACCATCTCTTCTCCCTACGTGGGATACTAATGATAAGCGCTAAGACTTCTACTGTCCTTACTGTTTGCTGCATCTTTTGAAAGTTCCACGAATCAGCATATTTAATCCTCAGGCAACCCAATGAGGTTTTTAAGTACTACTACAGTGGAACTTCAAAAAGTTTGTGGAGTTCCGAAATTGATTCTAATGATGATTGCTCAAATCTCAATATGCTTGAACAATTAAGTCTTTTGCTATGTGAAGTGTGTGCCAATAAATCTATTTTTTTAATTATCATGAGAAAATGGAATGAAAAGATCATGGGATTTCCCCACAAACTTTTTGAAACTCCCCTCAAGTTATCCCCATTTTACAGATTAGGGAACTGAGGCACAGACAAGATAATGAGGTAGCGGAGTTAAAGTAATACTGCTAGTGGGTAGCAGAGCTGAGATTCAATCGTAGAAAGCCTAGCACCACACTCTACATATACTCTAGGAACACCTGCTCAGCACCAGGAGCCAGGAGCTTGGCCAAGGTGTTCTGAATGGTCCTTTGGGCACCAGGTCTGTCCAACCTTCAGCCCAAAGTAAACACCTCACAAGAAAAGGACACAGTCTCTGCCGCCCAAATCTTCATTGACTGGTTCCCACCATTAACACACCTGGTCACTACCAACCATTAACATACCTGGCCACGAGGGGGCACCTCTCTCCTCCCTCCCAGGACCTAAACCAAACTGGCTGCCACAGTGAGTCACAGTGAGCTGATCGAGATAGAACACAGTAGCGCTGCCCCATTGTTCGATTCCGAGACTGTACCTCTTCCCGTGGGAGTAGAAACCCCATTCTTGCTCCTGAAGAAGAGCTGATTGTCTCAAGCTTCGGACCTGGCAGTTAGCAACCTAGCTCATAACCAGGACATCACCAGGGCTCCGGGGCAGGTGGTATTCAAAAGAAATCGTTTCCTCTGGGAGCCCTGGTGGTTTTGCATTGAGTTGGTAACTGCGAGGTCAGTGGTTCAAACCCACCAGCCACTCTGTGGGAGAAAGAGGAGGCTACTTCGTCCTTTAAAGATGAGAAGCCCTGGGAACCTAAAGGGGGAGTCATTCTACTTTGTCCTATGAAAGCAACTCCATGGTTTAGCTTCAAGTTGATTCAGAAAAAGGCCTAGCTGTTGATTTTCAAAGTTCTTACACGGCTTAAGGAAACCCAGACAATTACATGTCTACGTTGCATAGAAACGAAGAGGGTGAATTAACAGAGTGCAAATGTATGACCTTAACTTTTAGCAGCCCTCTCCGGCTATCTCGGTAGGTCCAAAGGGGAACCCAGCCACGAGGTAGCTCTGTGGTTTTATTGCACGCCAGCCGGATGGGGCTTTTGCTCTAAACCAGAGTCTGTTCACGACGTCATCCTCAGCCCTCCGCCTTCGCTAGCCCTGGTGCTGAGCGCTATCATCTTCCTGAAACCATCTTAATTCATTCTCCATTTCTCTATCTGGTCCCTAAGACTTTTCCCTACTCCAGGGCTCCTCGACCTCGGTACTACTGGCATTTTCAGTTGGATATTTCCAGGTTGTGAGTACCATCCTAGGGTTATAGAATGTTTACCAGCATCCTTGGCCTCTACCCTTTATATATCAGTAGTATTTGTCTCAACCGTCTCCAGCCAAAAAGATCTTTGAAACCAAAACCCCACTGGGATTGAGTCAATTCATGGGGGGCCGAGAGGACAGCATAGAACTACTGCTAAGGGCTTTCGAGTCTGAAATCTTTATGAGAACAGATGGCCTCATCTTTCTCCCACAGAGTAGCTGGTGAATTTGAACTGCTGACATGAGGGCTAGCAGCCCTGTGCTTAAGCTGCAGTGCCAGTGCAAATGGTTGATGGCAGGAGGAGGCAAAAATCACTCCCCTCTTGAAGACCACTGTTTTAAACAAGTAGCTCTTAAAGTGCGATCCCCTCACCAGCAGTTTCAGCTCCTTAGAGAACTTGCTGGAAATACTGATCCCACCATAGACCTCTCGTGTCGCAGCTTCTAGGAAGAGGCCTGGCAATCTGTGTTACAGTAAGAACCCTTCCAAGTGGTTCTGATGGAAGCTGGTTTGAGACCCATGGATCTAAAGACAAGGTCCTGCTTAAGGAACTCATTCAAGGGAGAAACTCTCGAGTTCTTTTCTAAGTCTCTATGTTCTAGGTCTAACCTTTTGCCCCATCTACTTCTCTTGGGTCTGTCTGGCCATTGTCAAGGTTGTCTCTCCCCTCTGGAAAAGCTTGGCTTCTCCACCAGAC